ACGGACAGAGCTGCCTGCGCCACGGCTACACGGTGCCCGCCTGGCGCGGCCAGGGCCTCACGGGCATCATTCTGGGCGAACTGGGCCAGCAGCTGCACGCCCGCGGATTCCCCAGCTACTGCAGTGTCCTACTGCAGCGTCCTGCCCCACAACACGGCCTCGCTGCGAGCCCTGCACGCCATCGGCTTCCTGATGCAGCCAGGGACCTTCTACATGCTGCGGGGCATCCCCAAGTAGTGCCCCCAGGTGGGGCTTGAGCTCAGGGAGGAGCTGTTCACTCTGGTCCCTACTGATGGCATGGGGGGGAACAGCCCAATTTCCACACTGAGCTCAGTGAGGAGCCATTCACTCTGGTCCCTATTGATGGTATGGGCGAACACCTTGACTGACACACTGAGCTCAGTGAGATATTCACTCTGATACCTATTGATGGCACAGCAGGGAATACCTTGAGCTTAGAGTACAGAGCTGTTCACTGTGGTCCTTACTGATGGCATGGCGGACACACCTCAATTCACACACTGAGCTCAGTTAGGAAATGTTCACTCTGGTCCCTACTGATGGCACAGGGGGACACCTCAACTTCCACACTGAGCTCATAGCGCAAAGCTGTTCACTCTGGTCCCTACTGAGGGCCCCCACTGTGGGTGTGGCATAGGCTGAACAGGGCGCTGGAGAAAGGCTTTTATTCGTTCATACAAGAATAGATCTTCTGCAATAAATACCCCAATAAATAAACATCTCCAATAAATAAACACTCATAGACGCACCGGGACAGCGGCCACGCCCCCCAGCTATGCCCCCACCCCTGCATTGGTCAGCAACCACAGGGAAGGTGGGGCTTGGCTAAAAGAGGGCAGAGCCTGTTGCAGGGAGGAGGCAGGGTTGGCTACACAGACTAGTGGGTGGGGCTTATTGCCATCTGGGGTGGAGCCTATTGCTCCTGGGCGGGGTTTATTCCTATGCTCTGAGGGATTGGTCCTTTTTGGGGTGAATGGGGGTTGCACCCACTCTGGAGCCCTTGGGGGTGGAGCTTATCGCAGCAGTGAGGGGACAGCCCAGGGTGGACAGGCCACCCTGGGGTGTGGGGACACTCTGGGGGGGGGGCACTTAGACCCTTAAGGCACAGCATGGTGACAGAGGGCCTGTGGGGTGGCACTTCGGGGTCACAAGACGCAGTTCTCAGGCACACTGGTGATGGAGTGGGGCACATAGGTGACTATGGTGGCACTTGGGGTTAAGAGTGCCTCTTAAATTGGGGTTAAGAGTCCTGTCCCTTAAGGCACAGTATGGTGATGGAGGGGCTGGGGGAGCTGTGATGGCACTTTGGGGTCAGGAGACCCAGTTCTCAAGGGCAGCAGAGTGATGGAGGGAGGGACATGGGAGGCTGCTGTGGCACTTGGGGTCAGGAACCCCATCCTTAAGACATGATGTGGTGACAAAGGGGCTGTGGGATGGCTTTGGTAGCACTTTGGGACCAGGAGCTCCAGTTCTCAAGGGACACTGGTGGTGGAGGGGGGACATGAGGTGTCTGTGGTGGTACTGAGATTAAGAGCCCTGTCCCTTAAGGTACAGTGATGAAGATAGGATTGTGGGGTGGCTTTGGTGGCACTTTGGAGTCAGGAGACCCATTTTGCAAAGGTATACTGGTGGTGGAGAGGGGACGTGGTGGCTGTGGTGACACTTGGGGTCAGGAGCCCTTTCCCTTAAGGCACAGATGATGATGGAGGGGCTGTGGGGTGGCTGTGATGGCACTTTGGGGTCAGGAGACCCAGTTCTCAAGGGACAGCAAGGTGACAGAGGAGTGACATGGGAGGTTGTGGTGGCACCTGGGATCAGAAGCCCCATCCCTTAAGGCACAGCCCGGTGATGATGAGGATGTGGGGTGGCTTTGGTGGCACTTTGGGGGCAGGAGCCCCATCTTTCAAGGCACACTGGTAGTGGAGAGGGAACCTGGGGTGGTCATGGTGGCACTTTGGGTCAGGAGCCCCATCCTGGCAGAGCAGGGGGCACATGGGGTACTCAAAACCCCCTTGCCTCCAGCCTCAGGGTGACCACAGCAGGCGGCACCTTCTTCTTGAGGCGGTTGAAGTCCTTGGCCGAGCGCCAGAGCCAGGTCTGCAACTCCTTCAGCAGCCAGAAATCATCCATCTTCTTCAGGAAGTCATTGGGAGCCCCTGCGGGGGCACCAGGCGGCGTGGGGGGCCCTGCAGGCAGGGGGTACCCCAGGGAGGACATGACGCCACCGATGCTGAGCACCAGGCCCTGGAGGCTGGCACAGAAGTGGGTGAGGCGGTGGCGCAGCTCGGCGGTGCCCACCTGCCCGTCCAGCACTC